ATATATATATATATACAGGGTGTTTCAGTTTATTGTTGCATAACTTTAAGATTCGATAGAACTTTTAAAATTAATGCATAAAGTCTACATAAACATGGGTCGAAAAATGCGTGGCTTCCGAAATACAGGGTGTTTAAATTTACTTTCTAAAATGGTTTTTCTTAAATATTTCGAACAATATTTGATGTATAGCAGTGAAAATTGGTATACAAGGGTTTTTTGCACGACAAAAAGGAACCATGGGCATAGTTTTACTGTAGCCGCTAGAGGGCGCTCTCTACTGTACCTGTAGTGTATTAAAATGACCGAACATTTTTTTTAGCGCATTTTTTGCTTTTTGAATAAAACAAAATGATTCTTCGCACTTTTCAACATAAAAAAGCTCTCTTGTGAATTTTCGCTATAGTTAGCCGTTTTTGAGATATTTCAATTTTTAAGGTTCGATGCATTTTTAATTATTCATGATAAAATAACGTTAAAAAGTCAGTATCTCGATAATTTTTAGAAGTCGGCTGTGCCTGCAAATATTTTTGAAATTGAAAGCAGAATAAGGTTAAGCGTCAATTAGTTGACAGTTAGTTTTGTTGTCTGTTGAAGCCTGAAACATTTTTTTGCAATTGTGAATGCACGAAATTTAGTTTCTGTTACTGTTTTTTTGTAAGTTTTATAAAAATGCCATTTTTATTCTCCAATCAAGAGTTACCCGTATGATTCTGCGTGAGTTTGATAGAGATCCGACCACAAGTGTTGTTCACCGTGTGTGACCATAGACGTCCTTACCATTTGCAACCATTTTCAGCATGAATTTAGTGTGAACGTGTGGATTGGTATATACCCTAATCGACTATTTGGACCCTACCTTTTGCCTGCAAGGTTAAATGCGACGACCTTCTTGGAATTTTTAAAGGCTGAACATGCAAATATGTGGGATGATGTTATGTTAGATTTAAGAAGATTGGTTGTCCAGCTTATTATTCGAGAACAGTTAGAAACTGGCTGGACGAAAATTATCCAGAAAGATGGATCGGCCGTGGAGGACCAGTCGCCTGGCCTCCACGATCCCCTGACCTAAATCCGTTAGATTTCTTTGTGTGGGGATTTCTAAAAGAAAAAGTGTACCAGACCCCCGTAACCACAAGAGTTATGCTAATAGACAGAATCAGGAGTGCATGTGATGAAATAAGGCCTTATTTGAATAATGCTATACCACGTTCGATCATTCGTAGATGTGAATTGTGTATTGAACAATTGGGTCTGCATTTCGAGCAACTACTTTAGATTTTGTATGTTTGTCCTAACTATCCAATAGCATTTTAGTTGTAAATAATTAATTTAATTTGTTAAAAATAATATTGGAAAATTAAACAAATTAATATTCTGTTTTTTTTTTGTGTTTATTTGGAGTTAGGAATTATTGTTGAGTTTAAAAACACAATCTAAACGATCATCTCAATTACTTGTAATGCCCAAATCGAAAATGTAAAAAAAATATTATTTTCCCATGAATAATTAAAAATGCATCGAACCTTAAAAATCGAAATATCTCAAAAACGGCTAACTATAACGAAAACTCGCAAGAGAGCTTTTTTATGCAGATAAGTGCGCAGAATCAGTTTTTTTATTAAAAAGCAAAAAATTGCACTAAGAAAAATTTTTCGGTCATTTTAATACACTACAGGTACAGTAGCGAGCGCCCTCTAGCGGCTACAGCAAAACTGTGCCCATGGTTCGTTTTGTCGTACCAAAAAACCCTTGTATACCAATTTTCACTGTTATACATCAAATATTGTTCGAAATATTTAAAAAAAACTATTTTAAAAAGTTAATTTAAACACCCTGTATTTCGGAAGCCACGCATTTTTTGACCTATGTTTATATAGACTTTATGCATTAATTTTAAAAGTTCTATCGAATCTTAAAGTTATGCATCAATAAACTGAAACACCCTGTACATATATACAGGGACTTCGAAGTTGAGTCATTTATTTTAACAGTGAGTAGATCTGATCAAAAGAAATGTTTTTTTCCTTTAACATTTTTGTGGTAAAATTAAAGTAACAAAGTTATAGCCCTTTGGAAGTTTGAGTACCGCCCTGTCTCAATAATAATATCATGTGCTCGTGTTTGGCAACAACGGATATAATCCGCCTTATCGGTTCATCGCATCGGAAACAAAAAAGCGAAAGTATTTGGAACGATGTTTTTACAATTATTTTATTCAGTTCAGTTATACATACAGTCAGTGTCAGTCGGTAAAGCGTGTGAATAGTGTCTGTTGCGTGGCTCAAACGAAATAAAAAATGGCACATGTTTATGCGGATCGGTTTCCCAATCGAGTGCAACCAACCCCTCGTGCCTTTGTTAATGAAGTACAACGGGCTCGTGAATCAGGTGACTTAAGACCTCACAGGGGACCTCACGATCAAATACAGGTCCGCACTGAAATACTTGTCGGGAGGATACTTTATAAAACAAGGTAAACATTTTTTGTTAATTTTTATTTTATTTTTACATACATATTTTGGTTTATCTTTCTTCTACAATCATTATCTGAAAATTAATGACTCAACTTCAAAGTATATAAAGAAAAAGAAAAAATATCTATAGATAGGAGAGCCCTGACGCTGACACGGGACAAGTGTAATCTAGAAATTTTTTAAGGAGAGAAAGGATTATGACAATCAAGGAGGCCATAAACACGCCCTACAATTGTAGGGACGACTGACGATACGGGCCTTAGAGATGCGTTTTCCTTAATTGATTTCATCTAGATTTTATATAGGGCGCCCCCGTATGGGAAGGCCAGGAGGGAGCTGTGTACCCCCTGAAAAAATTTAATTCCCTCGCTTCTGAAACATTTTTGAGAGATGATATACAGGGCGTTTGAAAAATAGACATATTTTAGAGGGTGATTCCTTGTTGAAAAATATGAAAAAAGCTTTTATAAAGATGGGTCCGGAAAAGCAGAGTTTTCAAGATACAGGGTGGTAAATTCATTTTTTTATCTTAAAAAATATTTACTCCATTCTGTTGAAATTTGACAGTATTATTTGTGGTATTAAGAGGCTAATTTAGCTCTAAACAGATTAAAATTATTAGGTCCAGTGGCGTCCTGGTGGCACCTTAGCGAATATTATTGGCAAAAAATGTACGCCGCTGCTTTTTTACTGCGTCTTTGCCTCTTGTATTTTTTCGTATCTCACTTCATTTTCGAAGAAGAAAAATTAAGAAAGTTTTATTGCATGTCACTGCACGAAATTGGTTTATTAATTTTTGCTAAAAAATCACAATTGCATTGGAAAACAAAAAATCTGAAAAACTTCTAGGAAATAGTGTTACTGCAACTTTAATAATATTGCCAAATTTCAACAGAATCCAGTAAATATTTTTTTAGATATTAATAAAAAAAATTATCACTCTGTATATTATAAACTCTGCATTTCCGGATCCATGTTTGTAGAAATTTTTTTCATATTTTTTAACAACAATATATCCGTCTATTTTTCGAACACCCGAATCATAATATAAAGTTTATTTTTGTCGATATCGAATCGGTCCCCTGAGAAAAATTCTTGATGGCGTCCATTTATATCCCAACTAGCAAGGTAGTGGTATAAGCTTTTGGTAAAAGAACCGTTCAGCCATAAAAGCTCTCTATTGATGGTGCCTGAACACCAAAATGCTGGCTTAATGTTGTGTGGAATGCAAATTTGTTTTCTGCAACAAATTTGCTCTAAAATGAGGTGTTTAAAATATTCTTATAGCATAGTTACACAACACCTTATAGGAAAAAAAAATTAACTGTTGCATAAACGTTTATACAACTATTTTGTACGGCATATTTGCAGGTTGGTCAAAATGGTTGTGTTGTGGCATCCATGGTATCGTTTATAAAACAAACCCGAGCCTGGTTGTTTTGCTATGCGTATTTACTACTTTAGCCAACAAATTGCTCCCAAAGGAAGCACTTATACAACTGTTGTTTAGTAACTGTTAAAGGCTGTACATATGCTAAATATGTTGGTATACAACTTCACCATAACCTAACTTTTTCCTGTCTTATTTTTGTTAAAATGCCATAACCAATGTTTTAAGACAAACAACGCATGCATATTGGTTAAAAAGGTTTTATCAACTGTTCAAACAGAAGATATAGATCTTGTACAAATTCTAGGTAAATCATTCGACTCTGTCGGTATTTCATTTCTGACATTTGTCAAATTGTTGTATAACACCTGCAGGCAACACCAAAATATTCTAATAAACTAAAGACAACATGGACGATGCCATGATTATACACAATCACCCGCCATATTGGGAAAACATTTATTCCTCAATTTGATATTAAATAATTATGTTTCAGTTCGAAATTACAGATATAAAGTGATAAACATTAGTGTAATTGTGTCTTAATATAGGATTTGTGGAAGATTTAACGCAGATAAGTTCAGTTTTCCATCTTAAAAATCTAGACATACTTTTGATCATTATCAAGATATGAATCAAATACGAAGCCCGTAGAAGTTGCGTAACTACTTTGCAAGATAATCACAATAAAATTTGCTGCGCAAGTAATTCAATAGACCTATATCACAGTGTAGAAGTTTATCATATACCTGTGTATGAAATTCACAATGGCCGATATGTAAGTAAACAAGATGACTGTATTGTTAGTTATATATTCTTCACTTTGTCTATACAATACATAAGAAATAGTTTGGTTGCAATAAGGTAGAATCACGTAACACAATAGTTGTATAGTTGACAAAAACTGAATCTTGCACTGATGCAAATGTCCTATAGCGGCTGCAAGTGGCTTACACTTTTGTTGTATAACTGTTACCTGCAGCCCTTAGACAACCTCTTAAATGACTGAAGTGTCCTATTAGGTGTGCCCATTCCGCTTGTATAGCTGTTCTAAGAGGGTTTTGTCAATGTTCTTACAGTATACAATGCTGTCTAAGGAATACTGTATAATCATTCTTCAAACTCCAATAGGAGTGATAATTGTTAGTTGGGATGTATCTTAAAGCCTTGCAAAAACTACGGTTATATGAACTGAACTAATGATCATCCTCTACAGTTTGGATTGATACTTTATGAAGTAATTGACGGTATTTTTGTTAGTTGTTAAATTCAGAACTACACACACAACGTTACCTGTTTCTTTAGTTCTGACACCTCTTTTATTTCGTCACGCGTATCATAACCATATCTTCTTGTATACACTGAAATAAAAAATAATACGTACATCTTTAAACTGAAAATATTGCTTGTATCATTCAGATTTCAAAATTGAAACAAATTGCTGTACAATTAGAAATCTTTCATAAAAATTGGTTGTTTTCATTGGCGAGACCGCAACATAGATGAAGTCTTCAAGTCTTCAAGTAAATAAGACAGAGAAAAAATGAACGAACATTTTTTGTTTCGGAAAATCGAACTTGTTCAAAATATACTAAGTGACATATAAATCCGAACACCCAGTTTAAATGGTTTTATTTTAATAAAATTTTGTATAAGTACTTAATGAAGCATAATAAGTAAATGATAAAAATTTTCAAAATGATTGCACTGCTTTAAAGCCCTTTGACCTTTAATAATGTGTGGATGCACCCTGATGTGCTGCGCATTCTCCAACGCGCCTAAGCATGCTTCTGATCAGGTGGTCAATGTCCTCCTGTGGTATCTCATTCCAGGCAACCACCAACTCCTCTCGAAGTGCTTCTAGAGTCTGAGGAGGACGTTGCAAATTGAGCAATCTCCTACCCATCATATCCCACACGTGCTCAATTGGGGATAAGTCGGGAGATCTTGGTGGCCATGGTAACAATGTGACATCATTATGTTGAAAGAAGTCTGTTGTGACTCTTGCAACATGTGGTCGGGCATTATCTTGTTGGAAAGTTGGATCTGCCAGGGTGTCAAGATAGGGTAAAAGATGGGGTTCTAGAACTTCGTGGATATAACGCTGCACGTTGATGTTACCTCTGATGAAGATTAAAGGTGACCTGGAACCATAAGCTATAGCACCCCAAACCATAACTCCAACAGTGTGATGAACATGTCTTTCAACAAAAAACTGTGGATTCCTCCTTTCACCACGTCGCCTTCTAACCCTGGCACGACCATCGCGCATGACTAAACAAAATCGAGACGCGTCACTAAAAACAATACTGTTCCATTCCTGATCCCAGAGTGACCGTTGTCTGCACCACTCAAGGCGATTACGTCGGTGTTCTCGAGTTAAAGGGAGGACCCAGTGTGGCCGGTATGAAAACAAGCCAAAACTTCTCATTCGTCGGTAAACACTTCGCATGCCAATAGGTCTTCCGTGTTCTGCAAACCATTCATTTGCAATGGACCTGGTAGTGGAGAAACGGTCCCTTAAGGCCAATAATCTTAGGCGGCGATCTTCACGGTCTGTTGTTCTACGGCGGTGTCCAGTGCCCCTTGCTCTTTGCGTACGGCCTTCTCGAAGCCATGCCTGACAACACCTAACCACAGTGTCTACACTTCTTTGCACTCTAACTGCAATTGCCCGAAAAGAAAGTCCATCTTCCCGAAGTCCCACTATACGGCCCCTATCAAACTCACTAAGTTGACGAAATCGTACAGGTCTCCGTACTCTAGGCACCGTAACCGATCGTAAAGGATGTCAAGAACCAAAATCCGCCAACGTTGATTCTTTACTGCGGCTGAAATATTCATTTTTAGAGCGTTAGTGAATTAAAAAAAAGCAGTATAAAAACCGGAATGTCCAACTGATAAGGCTGGACATTTTTTCACTTGTTATTTACAGTAAGATAAATACATTCAACAACTTTTATTAAAATAAAACCATTGAAACTGGGTGTTCGGATTTATATGTCACTTAGTATACTATTTATTTTTGTTACAGTATTCTTAAACTACCCGGGCAGAAGCGTGGTCGTTATAATTGTAATAAATGTACTAGATTAGATTTTACGCATTCATCACAAACAGCTATAAAAAGTAATAGTAAAATTGACAAATGTTGACGCCGAATTCCACCTTATCCTTCAAATTACTCTTCTGGTTGTATAAAGAGAAATAAATTATATTCGCTCCATTAAATTGAGGAATCGTTAATGTGACATTTTATGTCAGCTTTACTATAAACAGGATATAAAATAGTTGTTTGCCGGTTCTGTTTACACCCGATATTATAAATACCTGTTCTGAAAACTACATTCGGGAGCACATAAAAAATATCATTTTATTTTATTGCTTATCTGATTCATAGTTTCTGTTCCGATTCCGTTTGGTTAATGAACTCATCGCGATTTGTAATGGACGAGTTTTGTCTCAAATTTAAAAAAAGGTCAAAAATGAAAAAAAAATCGTTCAATCTTTGTCTTTTGACATTTCGGAGGAACTGATCATTTTAGAAAACATTTCTAGAATGAAAAAAATTGTGGTGTCTACTTTCTGACAAAATAAAGCTTATTCTTCCAATTTTTCATCTGTTCACATAACTTTATTAGCCTTTTTGCTACCATCGCATTTAAAACCGAACTCTAAACGTCACAACATGTTCCGGCATAGTCAGCTCCAAGGAATTAACTGAACCTGAATTGTGAACCATGTGAACAGTCCACGACTGCTGCTGGTTCACGTTTCATCCCGCACTCCAGCCAAGATTCACGACAGCAAAATCGCAAGCGTGCCTTCTTGCCCCGTAAGCTTGAGGCGGCTCCGACGCAGTGATTTTCAAGCCATTTACAAGGGTTCAGCTGCTTCAAAACTGACACTCCATTTTTCAAAATTTTTGAATGAAATTCATACAGTATGTTGAGAAGATAATTGCCCAGGGTGCTATAGGAGCACTTTTTGAAATTTTGTTTTTGCACAAGTTTTATGATGGGTTGAAGTGCGCACTTTTTCTGTTCAACTTCGCGATTTCTTTAAAAAGAACCTAGTGAAAAAAATGAAAAAGTGGCTCTATAGCACGCTGTGGGGTTTTGTTTTCAGTATTCTGTAGAAATTTCATCCAAAAATATCAAAAAATAAAGCGTCAATTTAGCAGCGCGCAAACCTCTACAAATCGTATTTTGGACGAATTTCGTCTACTGTTTCGTGCTGCCAAACCAAGCATTGCGGCGCAATGTACGGACTAAGAAGGACGTATTCAGATAATTTGGTGGCCCTATTTCTTATAATATCGCGTAGAGAAGTCGTTCTGCAAATAGGTACTCATAATCGCGATCGCTGATACTCCTCGATTTTAAAGCCATTTTACTTCCCATGTCATTGGCGAGGAAGTATTGTAATCGCGATAAATTTCTAAAATGAGATGTTATGTTTTTTAAGTCATATAATAATAATAATAATAATGATAATAATCCGGCTTTATTTATACAAAGTATAAAAAGGCGATAAGCAATAAGCAGGTAGGCTTTACCTGGATTAAGTACATGTCTTGTCTACTGTAATAGGTAGATGGAGGTGATGCTGCCTGAAATGGATGTGTGCGATCAATAAACAAACCACAAGATGTCCAATAATTTTTGTATTGCCGTTTTCATCGCCTTACTAGAAAACTCATTTGGGTATATGATGGAGTTTACTAGAACTTTACAGCTTGTTGTCTGCCTTCTTCTACAAACTTCACCAAATCGAGACGCTGTCAACCTTATCCTCCGATGAAGACGCCACAAAGCACAGTCCTGTGATTTGGTCACTTGTTCGATATGCAAAATCTCTTCGTCACTTTTTCTAAGTTTCCCTAAAAATTCTTGCTTAGCAACCTCCAAATCAATGTCGCTCATGTCAGGTTTTTGACAGAATTCGCCATAAAACTATTATATATTTTCTTTGGAATTGCTATCCGAATTGTTAGTTATGTTTATATAAACTTTTTTTGGTCTGAGTTTATTTCCCAGATTCTTGCGTTGAGTCTTTGTTCCATCTTAGTGAAAAGCGAGGTTGGACTAAGCTTAGAACGTAAATGTATTTGCACCACATAGACAGGCCGCTCGGTATTGTGGCTCACTACAGCTGCAGCACATCTTCCATCCTTTCCTCTTTTAAAGTAGCGTCGACCACCGTCTAAGACCAGCCCACAATCGTTTCCTTTTCACCCTCCCGTTACCTCAGCAGATGGTACTCGTGATTGTAGGAGCCCCGTTAAACGGTAGACGCGGCTTTCTTTCAAATTTGTCACTGCCTTCAATTTTGATATCAGACTATAGACCTATCTTGATTGCTTGCTTCTCCTTCTGGGGGTAAATCGCCGGCCTTAGTGAGTGTTCTGGTATTACACGTATTACTGCCGCGCCGCAGCATAGAAATGTCGATCTTTAAGCTATTTTTCTACGCTTTTTTTTAGACTGCTTGGAAACTTGGTAACTGCAACTCCTCGTCCGTCTCGAACCGTTGATGCCTGGGTGTTCCTTCAATTTCGGAAGCGCTAGCTAGGCATGAACTAGCCTTCAGTGACTTCAACTATGTTTTCATTTCAATAGATCTAGCTTGCATGTGTTACTCGTTCCATTAACATAACCAGCATTAAGTTTCTTAGAACCGTTCCGACTCGCGCAATAGCCAACGACAAGAACCATTTCCACAGTATCAGAACGGTTCTGGGAAAATTCTATTCTGTTTAACGCTGCCAATATACAAATCATCATGAAGAAGTGACGTCACATTTCAAAACAAATTCGAAAAATCAAAGAGAGATGTCGAACCCAAACTTAAACAAAACGTATGTATCCTTTATGTTAGTGCCAAACGTCGGCTTGTTTTATCCACTAGATTAAAGCCAAACGTATCCTTTATGTACAAAGAAACGAAATAAAATAACAAACAATGCGCGTTAATAGTCTGACACCAGCTTGAAAAAATTACTTGGCAGTTGTAATGGTAACAGTAAATAAAGTAAATGAACGAACTGTGCGGTAGTAGGCCTGTGGGCTGCGAATTACAAAGTTAAACTGTGATTTATTTACACGGACCATCAACTACAATGATTCTGCTGTCTGCTTTCCAACATGCAATTAGTATAAGGCTTGAAAATGCAGAGGCAAATTATTATCTCCATGACAATTTCTATGGTTAAGTATGCTTCAGTAAAACTATTTCTATGCCAAACGACACTACTGGTATAAACCTGGCCCAGGGGCGGCTGGCTCTTAAGTTCTGCAGAGCTACAGAACTGCCAAAACTTTTGTCTTAACAGAAAAAAGCACTAGTAATTTGATCATGA